GTTAATAATTATATGTGATAACAAAAAAATTTTTTGGTATATAGGGTGGTACATTAGTACATCCAATGCTTTTCAACATTCTTCTCCATGCACTCAATATAGTATCAATAATTTCAAAATTTGATGGATATATAGAGGTGAGATGTGAATTTAATTTAATAACAATTGTTGACTGTTCTTTCCATTCAATAAAAAATTGATGCCAATTTAAATCAAAAACATATATTTTTCTTTTTAGATGCTTTTCAAATGCAGGCATCATGTTATTGATATAATCCCATTCAGAGAATGTGCAGCAAGGAGCATCAATATAATTTTTAATTTTTTGTATTGTAAATGAATTAATAAGTCCAAATAATTCTTTATTATCAAATAATGCTTATTTATTATAATAATAATCATAAATAATATTTTTATAATAAATAACAAATTGCAATATTTATGCTATTCAGCATTTTCATCATTTATTAAAAAAATATTTTAACTATCTAATGTTATTAATTATTAATTATTATATAGCTGAGTTTTAAATAATAATATCTGCTACAATTATGCTATCTATTGCATCTAAATAAGTAATGAATAGTGGCAATGTGTTATTTAATGCTATGAATAACACATTTTAATTTCCTGATGTGTATTATTATTGTTAGTTATTTTTCTTCTTCTAAATTGTCTTCTGGTAATTAAAATATGGTAGACACTGTGAATCTTTTGATAAAAAATTTTTTTTGGTCCTTTTTTGAGTGTGTATATATATATTTAAGCATAAAATGATTATTAATATCCATACTATGTTAAACTGTAATTCAACTTCATAAATTTTTTTTACATATTAATAGATAATAAAAGTTTTAGTATTATTTTGAAATTTGGTTTATGTGATTCTAAAAATAATAATCATATAACAAAAGTCAAAATGTTTCCAATACTGTGAGATCAAAATTCCGCATCTCACACAAATCTCTTGGATTTAGTTAAACTAATATTTATTTCGTTTTTATGGTAGTATCCAGTTATGTGATTCTTTGATTACTTTCTTTCACTATAGCACTCAAGCTATTTAATTATTTGCAGGGCAAGTTTTCTTACTTCCCTTCCGGTAACGTTTTCTCAG